ATTGTAAATCACTGTATCTAAAAGCTTCTGCCTATATAGCTTAGGCTTCCTGTGTAAATAAAAGCGTATCATTTCTGTGTTTTGGTTCCTCCACTGGCTACCAATCAGTTGTCCCTGCCAGTTCAAAGTCCTGTTCAATGCCTTAAAAATAAGGACTCAAATTACTGCATCTCTCTCTGTAACCCTCTAAGATAGGGGTGGGCAATTATTTCAGCTGGAGGGCCACTTAATGAGTTTTGGTGAGCTGTTGAAAGCTGTACACATAAAATTAATGGTGAAGATATCGTATTAACACATTATAAATTAAAAACAAATCATATACTAAAAATCAAACATCTACTATAAAATACTTTATTTAAAAAAATGTTTTCCCTGATTTCTTTCTTTTTTTTTTTGAGTACTGCACATAGAGGCGATTGTATAATTGCTCAAAATAAAGGCTTATTCTTGTATATTGAAAATTAAGTTAAAGTAAAATAAACTCACTCATTCAATGGGAAGAATGAAGCTTCTGATGTGTGTTGACCAGAGAATCAAGATCAGGCATCATCTCCATTGTTGCAATGCGGAACACTGCTGCAAAGTGGTCATTGCTCATCGAAGATCTATGTGGGGGAATATGTGTGTGCATGTGTGGTGTCTGTGTGCAGGGGGTAGGTATGCATATGATATATTGCAGGTGTGTTTGTGGGGGCAGGGTATGGGGGTAGGGTAGGGTATACTGTGGGTATATGGTATGTGTCAGGGGTGGGTATGTGTGGGGTGTTTACGTGGGGGGTAGGGAGTTATGGAGGTGGGGGGTGTACGCATGACTTCCCTGCAGAAAGCTTTGCCTCCACCCCACTTCTTTCTTGAGGGGAGCCCCTGGCCAGGAGACAGATGATCTTCCACCCACGGGGTAAAGAATGGCAATAGCACCATGGCACCAGCATGTGAGCACCCACACTTGCCTCCCTCCCTCCACCTGCTCGCTAGCCCCCAGGCAGGGCGGTTGGGCTGGGCCGGGGTATGGTGCAGGGAGAATTATAAGTCCCAGCAGCCCTGGGGGCTAACCTGGCTGCTGTGGCTTCAGTCTATTGAACAGGGTGGCCCCTTCTAACCTTTCACCCTGTCCCCCCACCCCAGCCTCCCTGATGATAACCCATGGATAGAACTGCTGCTGCAGCCACATGGGCCAGCAAAGTAACGCAGAGGCATGAGGGCAGCAACAGTGGGGGTCTGGTGGCATGGAGTACGCTGCAGCAGGTCAGGCTGCTCCAGTACTATCTGAGTGTGGTTCACCTGGGGCCTGCCACACAGAGCAGGGCAGAAGGGCAAAGCTGCTTCTGCCCAGCGTCCGCTGTGGTGCCAGCAGAGGCTGGAGCTGGAGCAGTATCCAGAACCGCTGGGGCCCAAATGAGGCTCAGTGCTTCCTATGCAGCCAGCAGAGGCCAGAGCTGTCGCCTGCACTGCCCACGGGCCGGACAGAATCAATTGGCAG